TTTTCTTCATTTCTACTATCTTCTGCTTGCCAACTTATTTCACCTCTCTGTGACTCAGTTTCCTCATCTGTAAAATGGGTGGTTTCATCCACTTCTTAGATTGTCATATATGGGCTCATATATGTACTTAGAACAGACACTGTCTAAGGGTTGATTGCTATTTTTGATGTTATAATCACTGTTTTATTATTGTTGCAGTGGTTTCCTAGGCTGTCTTCCTCTTCTCCCATTTCCCCACTAAATTTATTTATACGGAACCCAGAGTAACTGTTACAAACTAAATGTCAGTACATGTCACTGCCTAGCTTGTCATTCTCCATGGCTTCCCAATGCATTTAGAGAGAAATTAGTATTCATTCCAGGCTCACAAGGGTTGCCCACATCATCCCCCAGTGCTGTGTTTAACTACATTCTCTCCTTTCTGGCTCTGTAGACATGGTGGGGGGAGGAGTTCTTCCTTGAGGGTCTGCACCAGTGGTGCCCACTCCTGGAATATACTTCTAGACCAGGGGTGGGCAAACTTTTTGACTCGAGGGCCACAATGGGTTCTTAAACTGGACCGGAGGGCTGGAACAAAAGCATGGATGGAGTGTTTGTGTGAATTAATATAAATTCAAAGTAAACATCATTACATAAAAGGGTACAGTCTTTTTTTTTTTTTAGTTTTATTCATTACAAACGGGCCGGATCTGGCCCACGGGCCGTAGTTTGCCCACAGCTGTATCTAGACCTTCCAAGACTGGGGCCCCTGAATTCGGGTCTCAACCCTAATGTCACCACCTCTGAGAGGCCTTCCTTGACCATTCTACACTTCCTTTAATTTGCTCTCAATCCCCAGTTACTACCTTAATACCTAAAATTTTTTTTTCTTTACAGCACTTACTACTAGTCAAATGAGAACAAATGCATTTTGTTGGGCAACAATATCATCATTCTGCTAACATCACTATACTGCTTGGATGCCTCAGGTAAGGCAGCTGTCCCCCTCCACAGCCTCTGCTCTCCTGGCTCTCACACAGGACCTAGGCCGTCACAGGAGCCGCAGCCCCAGGCACTTTTGTGTCTCCCACACACCAAAACACAAATACTAGTACAAACGCACATTACAAAGTATTGGCTTGAGAGAGATCATCCAGGAGATTCATAATAGGCTAATAGTATTTTTTAAAGGCTGCTGTCAAAACAAAAACACAAAATTAAAATGTTGAGGAGAGAAAATGGTGGATTCCTGAGATCCACCCACAGCCCTGCATCTGAGAAACACTGTCCTGTGTGAATCTTTTCTGCTCGGGAAATAAACAGCCTCTCCCTTCCTTAGTGTCTAGCTGAGATTCCCTGAGTCAGGACTGTCTTCTGACTTCCTACTGGGAGAAAAGCTGTATTTATAGCGAATGCATGAAATACTAGCCAGCTCTGCTAAGTACTGGCAGAGATCCTGCTGACTGCTGCCCTGGCCTCCCCTGCTTTGCTCACACTAATAGGGGCTGTTGTCCTAGAGGGTGTCAGCCAGCTTGGTTTCCATGAAAAAGTGATGGCAAAGAATAATCTCCAAAAAGTCATTTCACTGTTGTGAGCGAATGAGATATTAATATTCCAGAGGCAACCAGAGATGGAGAGGCCCAGGGTGGAACAAACAGACTCATCAAGCATCTCTATTTGCGGTGCTTTAGACATTTTATCTCATCTAGTCTTCATGGCCATCAGTGAAGTAAGTATTATTGTGTCCACTTTACAGATGTGTGTGTTAAAGCTCTGAGCTGGTAAGTGACTGGTCTAAGGTACAGGGGAGGAGTTTGAATCTGTGCTACTCTGACTCCAGACCTGTATTTTTACATTATGCTATGCGACTTCTCATATTTGATCATATGAAGAAGCTCAGAAATGAAAATGTTTACTGTGAATGCACTGAGTTCCTAACAAGATAATTATATATATATATATATATATATATATATATATATATATATATACACACACACACACACACACACATATATATACACACACATATACATATATGTGTGTGTGTGTGTGTACATATAATAGTCTATTAAAATACAGCTAAAACACAGACACCTGTTTTGTGAATAATGGTTGAAAAAAATTGAGATTTAATTAAAAGAAAAATGTAGTCCTTAGACGTTTTAAGAACTGTTATGTAAAGACAGTGTCCACTGTACCAATGAGTAGATCTTGGCCAAGTGGTTTTGAGTCTGAGGTAGGAAGGTTATCTTTTTTTCCCCCCTCCCAGTTCAACTTGAAGGACTTTTGAATAAACAAAAGTGCATGGGTGGAGTCCCTCTGGATGGCCTGCAGGGACTGGGAAACCCGCAGTCCAATGCTGCCTGCAGCTCCTACCTGCTGGTCCTGCTCATCCCAGCCCCACTGAGCCTGCTGCGAGTTCGTACCCAATCAGTAGAGATAGGGAGAGGCTCGGCACCCTCCCAAGGGGAGTGGCCTGTGGGATGGGGCTGAAACCAGCTCTCTGACATCCCGAGGGGTCCCAGATTGCGAGAGGGCACAGGCCAGGCTGAGGGACCCCACCGGTGCATGATTGGCCAGGGAGGGACCATGGGAGGGCTCCAGGATGTGTCTGGCCATCTCACTCAGTCCCTATCAGCTGGATACCAGCAGCAAACTAGCCTACTGGTCAGAGCATCCGCCCCCTGGTGGTCAGTGAACATCATAGCAAGTGGTTGAGCAGCCTTAGCATATCATTAGCATATTACGCTTTGGTTGTTCTGCCGTTAGGTCTATTTGCATATTACTCTTTTATTTTATAGGAGGGCTCATATAATAATTGAGATGCAATGAATCTCATTTCAGATGAGGGTAGGTTCAGTTCTAAAGTCAATATGAAAGAACAGCACAAATTGCCTTTGTAAATCCCTTACGAAGAAGGTGTCACAGACTGCATTTCCCAGTACTTGCCCATCACAGCCAGTTTGTGCCCAGGGTTGAAATGGATTGCTGATTCTTTTTTAAAATTTTTTTAAAATATATTTTATTGATTTTTTACACAGAGGAAGGGAGAGGGATAGAGAGTTAGAAACATCGATGAGAGAGAAACATCCATCATCTGCCTCCTGCACACCCCCTACTGGGGATGTGCCCGCAACCAAGGTACATGCCCTTGACTGGAATCGAACCTGGGACCCTTCAGTCCGCAGGCCGAAGCTCTATCCACTGAGCCAAACTGGTTAGGGCAGGATTGCTTATTCTTTGATGAAAGTGTGAGAGAAGAAGTCAGCTTAGTTTAGAGCCTAGCTGCAGGAAAAATGTGTATCTAGCTATACATTATGATCATGGCACACTCAATCACACTGAGACGCGCCCTGTATGTAAGGCACGAGGGAACCAAGACTGACTTGGGGTACATCTGAATGACATTGTCCCCTCATAATGTCATACTAGGGCCAATGCTCATCCAGTAACTAATGCAAACCATTTCCCGAGATGTCTAAATTGTTTCCCCTCATTCAAATAAATGTACATGGAATGCAGGTCCACCAACCTACCTTGTGCCGTCATTTAACTCTAACCACTAAACTAGGAGTTCCCCCTTGTTGAATACAACTGTCTGTTCCTTGGTGTACTCACCCCTCTAAGATTTGGTTCCTGTCTACCTTCACCATCTCATTTCTTTCCATTCCTTATTACACTGTCTATACTCTAACTCCACTTAACTACTTCCAGTTTCCAAAATAATGTTACTTCATACCTCCTACCTCTGCCTGTAGTGCCCCTACCCATGTTATCCAGCGAATGTTGACCCTCAGCATTCATTTCAAATACTTCCCTTCTATGCTAGTTTGATTGGACTGACGCTACTATTGTTCATGCCTCCCTGGGACCCTGTGCTTCAGTGCCTCCCACTGTGACTCTGGGCTTAGTCCTATCACTTGCTTGGACCAATAGGAGGTCATCAGATGTGATACCGCAGAGGCATGGAAAGTATTTGTGCTATTGGCTTTTTCTGCTGCCACTGCTGGGACAGTATTCCTCAGTTAGCTCGCTGGAGGATGTGATGAAGGTGCTAAGTCGAGTTGCACCAAGGTCATCCATGCCAAGGTCATCCTAGATCAGCCAGATGCAAGCTGAACCCCAGACATAGGAGCAACCCAGTCAACTTGCACCTAGAATATAAGTTCTGGAGATCTAATGCACAACCTAGTCATTAGAGTAAAAAAATACTTATTAGAAACTTCAACGTTGCTAAGAGACTAGATCTTAACTGTTTTCAACATACACAAAAAGAAATAATTATATGAGGTGATAAGATGTTAGCTAACCTGCTGTAGTGGTTATATTATGATACATAAATGTATTAATCCAAAAGGCTGTGTACCTCAAACTGAGACGTTATACATCAATTATATCACAATAAAAAATAGTTTGTGCACACCTGAGTTAGAATCACAGCTCAGCAAGTGGCAAACTTTCTGAGCCCAAGTGTTTTTAGCTATAAAATGAAGACAGAGGCAGCAACTGTGATGCCTTCTTGAGAAGATGAAATGAGAAAATCTGTATTAAGTAGCCAGGTCAATGCATTAAAAGGGCTCAACAGTATTTGGTTGAGTGAATTAATGACCTAACTCTTCCATGGCAAAATTCTTAGAATGAATGCAGCAAAAATAGAAGGTCTTTGTCCCATTACCAGTTCTGAACATCCTGCCAGCTGCCCTCGACTTTTTGTAGCTTCTAATTCAATTTATTACTATTGAAGCTGATGTTTCAATGTACTGAACCCAACTGTACAATAAATAAAAGTACCTCAGAGGACCATCTTTGCAACTTAATGTCAGCATGGTTGTTAAATGTGGTTTATTTAATCTCTCATCTAAAACAAGAGTTGCAGTTTGTTGCTTCTACATCTGCTCTTCCCACAACCCTTTGGAGAAATACCGATGCCTGGCCTGTGCTTACTGCCTGCTTGTGGGCAGGCTCAGTGGCCTCGTTGGCAGGCTACACTCCTGCACAATTAAGAAACAGGTACTTACCTCTCTGGAGGCAGGTAGCCTTCCTTCACAGCTGCTGCAAGAGCAAAAGGGAGAGTGAAAAAGAGATAGTAGCAGCAGCCTGATTAAAGCAAATTGTGTTTGTGCAATGACCTGACTCCAGAGACACAATGTGGTTGGCAACTCACCTGTTCCCTAAGCCTCCCCTTCCCTGGCATCCCGATGATCACTGCCTACATCACAGCCCTCACCCACACTTTATGGTGCTTAATCATGACTACACTCTCTTGTATTAGACTTTGACCTCCTTGAGTACCAGGATGTCTGTTGGGTTTCTCTCTTAATCTCATGCCTATCACAGGGCCTGGCAAAGAGAATGCATGCTTGAAATAATGATAACATTGCACTTATGGAGCTCTTACTGGTGTGACAATAACTACAAAGTCTTTCCACGCCTCATCTCATTCATTTATCCTCACAATAATCTATATGGTGAGTGTTATTGTCATCTCCATGTACAGGCAAGGACAATGAGGCTCAGGGAGTAACATGACCAAACTTAAGCAGCTAGTGTGTGTGTGTGTGTGTGTGTGTGTGTGTGTGTGTGTGTGTCCTACAATTTACAAAGCCCATTTTATTATAAAAAGACTTAGTACTTTGTTTTATGTCCTCTCACAACCTTCTTCCCTTTCAGAGAGATGGTTTGAGCCCTAAATTATTTAACATTTATAGACTTCCCAGATATGGAGGTGGCTGTATTCTTAATGTATAATGCTAAGAACCCTGTTTCTCTATATAGAATTTTCTTTTAGGATGAGACCTAAGATGACTTATAGTAGTGGTTCTTCAAGCGTGGTCCCTGGAGCAGCAGCATCAGCAGCCCCAGAGAACTTGTTAAAAAGGTAAATCCTCAGGCCTCCAACCCAGACCAACTGAGACAGAAACTCTGGGATGGGGCCCAGTAGTTTGTTTTAACAGGTCACCTAGGAGATTCGGATGCACACGAAAATTTGGGAACCACTGAGTTCAAGAAATTTAACCATGAAGTTGCCCAGAGCAGTCAAACGAACAACCAATGAACTAGAAGTAGCTCATTTAGTGCCCTGTCTGCTGGCACTCGTGGTCACAGTAAAACATGTTAGCACAGCCCTCCCTCTCCTCCCCGTTTCATTAGAGCAGACAGAGCAAAGGTGTTTAAAATGACAATAGGGTGAGTCTGGAGTGGGGGTGTATATGAGCAAGGGCGCCTTTATGTGTCAGAGTTAGACACATAACAGCACAGAGAAATGGCTTCCAAGGTGCCTCAGTCCTGGAAGGGACCAGTGGGGGCAGGTGGGAGCCCTTCAGTGAATTACTGCAGGCAGATTGCAGAGGCCTGAGGGACCTCCATCATGACCGCAGGTCAAGTTCACACTGACTGCCTCCCTTTCGCTGCCTCCCCCTCGTCTACTGCACAGGCTGTGTTGACAACACAGACTTTGTGGGAAACACAGAGGCGCTCTGCCTCCCTGCCCTGCTCCTTTTCATTTTCTTCCTCTTGGACGGATTCCCAGTGATCAAATGCAAGGCTCTCAGGGGAAGCGGGCTGGCTCAGGAGCGATAAGGGGCCAATTCCCGCAGGTTTGTCATTTCACGGGCAAGCTGCCATGGCCTCTACGTGAGAATGAGCAGTGATGGATGTCCAGCCCTGGAGAAGCAGTTCAGCATTGTCACCAGGCACTCATGCGGAAAGGGAGGTGGCGGGGTGGGGGGATGTGGTGGGGGGGATACTGGCCCACTGTGTGTGGTGGTGGTGGGGTTGTGAGGGCTGTGCATTTCCTCACCTTCCCTGGGGGTCTTGGGAACCGCAGTTGTCCGCCTCAGAAAGGCCTGGAGGCTCACTCCTGGAGGCTTCGGTGGCTTCACGGGAGGAGGACCCAGGGACTCCACAGAAGGCAGTGGTTTCGTTTTGGGAAGCTGGTGATGTTTGACATCTGGCTCTTTTTCTGAGCACAAAAAGCCACAATGTAGGTTGTCAATTGTTTCCATTTTATGGCCTGTGGGGAGAAACTGATGAGTTGCCTTGCCTCATTCTCATTCCCCCCACATCTATACTCCACCCAGTAGCCAGAGTGTCCACAGCCCTGATCTTGTCACCGTCCTGCTGCCCAGAGGATGAACTGCCATTTCCTCAGCATGCCCTTTGTTGGCTCCCTCCTCTGGCATTTAAACAGCACACAGCCCCAATCGACATTTCCAGATTATTTTCTTACCAGATTTTATTATCCTACTTCCCTGACCTGAAGCCCAAACATCTTTCACTCACATCATTGGCTTCTCAGTTCCCAAATTGGATTTTACAGGCCTTCAAAAGCTTTCGTATATCCAAGATTTTGTTCATGCCATTCCTGGTTCCTAGAATGCTGTTCCCTTTTTTCTTTCACGCCAAACTTCAACTCTTCCATTAAGGCCCTGCTCCAATGACACCTCCTCTAAGAAGCTTTTCTTGATTGCTCCCAGAAATCTAGGACTCTGTTTCATATCCCCATAGCACATTGTTAACACCTCTCCAGCAGTGTTGTGGCTTATTAGAGGGGCTTGTCTAACTTCTCACTGAGTTAGGCTCCTGTGGGCAGGGACTAAGACACATTGACCTTTCCCTAGCACCAAGTACGGGGCCCAATTCAGAGGAAATGGACAATAACTGAAAGGATTCTTTAGGGACTTATGGTGGGCAATAAAATGGGTGCTATAAAGAGGAATCAGGATTGATCTCTGATTTCCAGGGCTTGTAGCCTAACACAGGCTTCAAGGCTGACTATGGTGGTACCTAGGCACCTGTGGATTTTGTGTCCTGGAATCTGGCAGGATAATCCCAGTTTTGCATATTTTATCCTTCTGCACTAATAAGCCAAACTCAACAGAAATTCCAATAATATAGATGAAAATTATATCTACTTCTTCGGAAAATAATGCAAACTCTTATATTAACCAAACTCTGATTTTTGGTTTACATAAACTAGGGGTTGATTACATGGTACAACTAAAGGAGCTGACTAGTGTTTCCCAAATATACCAGTGAGACTCTCAAAGCCCTGCTGTCCTCTTCAAGCGGGAGTGGCTTCGTTCTTGCCCTCCCAGCAGGGCCAAAGTTTCTCTCTTCTGAGGCTAGAATCCAATGTCAGTAATTTTAGTCTTTATCAAATTAAGGACATGACAGTGAAAGCAAATGATCGCTTGCTTATTGGGCCCCTAATTATTCTCAGGCAGTGTGCTCAGTGGTTTACGTGGGTTATCTTTTTTAATCCTCATAACAGTTCCACCAGGTAGGTAATCAAGCCATCCTTCCTCCTTCCCTCCCACATAACCCTCCTCCCATTGATCCCATCTTCTTTCCCATCTATTCATCAGTAATTACTTGTCTAGTATATTCCAGGCATGGTTCTAGGGGCTGGGGATAGAGCTGAACAAGAATAAGAGCAGACACAGTTCTGCCCTCAGGAATTTTCCTTCTAATAGAAGGAGACTGATGTAAACATGTAAACAAACAAACAAGATAATTTTATTCTTATAGGATGAGACTGATGATAAACATGTAAACAGACAAGATGTGTTAGTTCTATAAAGGAAATAAAAAAGAGGATGATATAAAGAGTGCGAATCTTGATGATGAGCAAGTGGTCTTTAGATAGGGAGGCTAAAAAAGATTTACCAGGAAGTGTTATTTGACTTTGACCTCCATGAACCTAGTATATAAAAGTTTTTTAAAAAAGAGTTTTTTTTTAGGAAGAGGGAACAGCAATAGTAAAGGTCCTGAGTCACAACAAAGTCTGTTGAAGGAACAGCAAGAAATCCAGTGTGTTGACTATGGGCTAGTGAGCCAGGGAAAGAGGCAGGAGGCAAGTCAGAGACATAAACAGGGATCAAAAGAAGCAGGACCTTGAAATGAGTAGTAATTTAGATGCTATTCTAAGTTCAAAGAGATTAGAAGCAGGCAATCCATCCACCCACCTCATCAGTCCATTTCAGTCATTCAATAAATATGCTTTGAGAACCACTGAACCTGGAGCCTTGTCCTTCTAGATTCTGGGGATATGGTGGTAAACACAGTTCTTATTCTCATGTAACTTACATTTTACTAGGATAAACCAATACATAATATAGTAAGTAGGAAGAAGTGATATGACAAAAATCAAAGCAATGTAAGAAGATAGTGATGGGTGCCATGACTATTTTAGATAGAACAGTGGTCGGCAAACTGCGGCTCGCGAGCCACATGTGGCTCTTTGGCCCCTTGAGTGTGGTTCTTCCACAAAATACCACATGCAGGCGCGCACGTACAGTGCGATTGAAACTTCGTGGCCGATGTGCAGAAGTCGGTTTTTGGCCTGGGCGAGTCTATTTTGAAGAAGTACTGTTGATATTTGGCTCTGTTGACTAATGAGTTTGCCGACCATTGAGATAGACAAAACAAGTATACAAGACGAGTGTGGATGGGAGAGTTGGCAGGGGTCGACCTCAGCGAACGTACCTCAATCAGATTGAGGACGTTTTTAGTAAAGGCCAATTTAGGAGTACCCTAATTAAGTTAATGACAATGTACCTACCTATATAGTTTAAGTTTAAAAAATTTGGCTCTCAAAAGAAATTTCAATCGTTGTACTGTTGATATTTGGCTCTGTTGACTAATGAGTTTGCCGACCACTGAGATAGAATGGTCCACAAGATCCACTCACATCAGGTGTACTGGACAGAGACCTTGATGAAATGTTTGAGTCAGATATCAGAGACCTGGGGGAAGAGTGTTTCAGGCAGAGGAATCAGCAAGTGCAAAGGCACTGGGGTGTAACAGCTTGAAGGCCAATGTAATGAGAGAGAAGAAGGTAAGAAAGGTAGGCAAAGACCAGATTACGTGAACACTGTAAGATGACGAGTTGAATATGAGCAGGAGCCTTATGTGATACAACTTATGTTTTAGAGGATCACTGTGCCTGATAGGAAGAGAGAAGAATATAAGAGAGCAGAGTGTGAAAGCAGGAAGATGAGTTGGACCATTGCAGTGGTCCAGGCGAGAGATGACTGTAGTGTGGACATGGGCAGAGGGCAGAAGTGGAGGGATCCAGAACATATTTTAGTAATAGAACCAAGAGCTTGCTGATGGATTGGATACAAAGAATGAAGGCAGAGAGGAACAGAGCATGACTCCTACATTTTGGGCATGAGCAACCAGGAGGACGGTTGTCCTGTTTACTAAGACAGGGAAGACTGGTGATGAATCTGATTTGTAGGAGAGCAGATCAGGCTCTATGAAGTTAAGCAAATTGCCCAAGTTCATGCATCTTGCAAGAAGTAGAAGTAGGATTCAAATCCAAGTTTGCTCAAACTGTCTCTCAATATAATTCCAGGAGATTAGTCACTTTGCCCAAACCTGAATATTACAATTTAGCAGATGCTCCTATAATACCTGCGTTTAGAGCAAAGATTGCTGAGGTCACATATGTGACCTTCTCAAGTTCCCCAGCTTTAAGTTGGAAAAATGCAATGAGCTCTCCCCCCCGCACCTGTGGGGATTAGATTTCTCACCTGGAGCCTGGCTGGCAAGCTCACTCTCATAGATAGGCTGGCAGGTGCTCCCCGCTGGGCTCCTCTCAGGACTGGCCTTTCCTAGGCTCTTCTTTCCATGTTGAGAAAGCAGAAATGTGGGATCTTCTGAGGTGACATGTGATTTTCTTTGGGCCATGAAGTGCCTCTGGGAAGGAAGAGTCTGGGAGCCTTTTTCCAGCTGTTCCCTGGGCTCCTCTGGAGTAGTGAGTCCCGTGCTTTTCTGATCTTCTAGATGGAGAGCCCCACTTCCACAACCGGCAAGGCAAAGGGCTGATGACATGTCATTTTTCTGAGATGAAACCTTCTCCCAGTTCCGGAGCTTGTCTCTGAAGGTACTGGCCACCTCTTTCTTCTTATCGGTTACCTTAGCATTTGACTGATTCACATCTAAAGGCAGAGAAGCCTTCTGTGAATTTTCTGCAGAATGAGTAGACCTTCCTGGAGGTTCCAGGGAATTAGAACATTTCTGAATATCACTCCTTGGTGCCAACTTCATTTTCTGGGGTTCAAGAGACTGGGGTTCACCACTGGAACAATATGGTGGGGGCTGATTGTGGTTGGATGAGAGGGGTTTCCCATTGGCCCAAATCCTCGTTGACTGTGTGCTTCCAATGTCACCCTTTGGAGAAACACCTGCTAGGGATTTAATAGGTCCTGGAAGGGATGGCACATCAAGCTTTTGAAATTTAGCTTGGAGCTCTTTGAAGTTTCTTAATCTTTCCTAAAGCATAAAAAAATAGAAAAGTCTCATTATTTTAGGAAACAAGCAGCACAATTAGCTGACTACACTGTGCGTGCCAAGGCTGTAAGTGCCGATATAATGCCGCTGCTCACCCATCGAGAAGATCCTCCTCCTATTGTCTATGTAGGATGGAATAAAAACAACTGCATCCTCACTGAAACACTTTGGATATGTTTAATTTCTTCACAACATATTAAAACCACCTACAATGGAGACAGTATTAACAATTGCTGATAAATCTTTGGATACAAACTTTTGATCACATTGTTGTGAATGACTAGAACTCTCTTCATCTTTCAAAACTGGAGCTCTACACTCACTAAACAACAATTCCCTATCTCTTCACACAGCTCCCCATGCCCTGGCAACAACCCTTCTACTTTCTGTCTGTAAATTTAACTGCTCCAGGTGTCTCATATAAGTGGAATTATATGTACCTGTCCTTTTGTGACTGTTATTTCACTTAACATATTGTGCTTAAGGTTCATCCATGTTATAACACATGGAAATATTTACTTCCTTTTTGAGGCTGAATAATATTCATTGCATGTGTATAATACATTTTGTTTATCCATTCATCCATTGATGGGCACTTGGGTTGCTTCTACCTTTTAGTTATTGTAAATAATGCTGCTATGGACATGGGTGTACAAAATATCTCTTTGAGTCCCTGTTTTCAATTCATTTGGTTATATACCCAGAAGTGCATTTGCTGGATCATTTCATTTTTAATTTTTTTAAGGAACCACCATACCATTTTCCATAGTAGCTGCATCATTCCTAACTAGAACATTTGTTATAATTTTTCTATATCCTTGCAACACTTATTTACTATATATATGTATTTTTTATTTTTTGATAGTAGTCATCCTAATGGGTGCGAGGTGATTAGTGGTTAATATTTAAAAAAATATATAGTGATGGTTATTTTTAGGTCTTCACTGTCTGAAGCCACGTGAACTACAGTGTTAATGCTTGGTAAATTTTAGTCTCTATAGGAATGATTAGGAAATAGAATTATGGATTACCTCCAAGCCAAGGTCCTGTAAAAAAGTCATTGGTTCAGGAGGAAGCAAACCTAATTATATCTGGCTCATTCTTTTCTTAAGAAATGTTCAATAAGTGTTTACTATATGGGCAAAACATTGTTTTAGACAGTCAAAGGCTCTTTAATATTACATTACAATATCAAGGATAGGCAGAAAATAAGCAAATACATATTAAAAGATTAGATACAAGTACTATGTGGAGAATTAAATAGTTGATTCAATAAAGAGTGACTGTGTATCCAGTCACTGATTTTCAGAGTTACCATAAAAAGTCACTTTTCAAAAATTCTGAGTTCAATAATTTATCAAATCAGGAGGTGGTCTGGGTGATCTCCAAGGCCTGTGCCAGCATTAACATTTATATTTTGTTTTCCTTTAAATGAGAAATAGATGTGATATATTCTGTTATTATTCATCACCCATTAATGGGAAGTCAGGGTTGAGGATATAAGAGGCAAATTGAGTGAAGATGGGGTGGAAGATGGCCAAAGGGGAATTCCAGTTAAAAACATGTTCCATTTTCCTGGGCCCAAAGCTAGTCAGTGGTGATATCCTACTGATCTTAAAGAAGCTCATGAGCCTACACTTTCTTCATGTGAATGCCACTGCCTTTGAGTCCTCCTCACTTATTAAAATGACTTCTCTCTGCTTTTACTTTGGGCCCCTCTAATCCACCATTTACTTAGCTGTTAGACAAATCTGATTAAAAACACAAATCTCATCATGTACATCACAATTTAAAATCCTTCAACTTGGCTTCCTCAAAGTTTTCAGATATAGCTCAAACTCTTTTGCTTAGCATATACTAGTAAGGCCCTTCCTAATCCCAACTCTGTTAATTTTCTGATATCACATTGGGCCCATCTCAGGCATGCTTTCTTTCTTTGGGCCTTCCTGAATTACTTACATTTTCTTAAACTTATTTTGCTCTTTCATATCTCTTTATCTTTGAATGTGCTGTTTCATCTGCCCGCAATACCCATCTTTCCTTCAATTTCTTGAACTAGCAAATTCCTGCTTCAAAATTCAACTCATGTCACATCAAAATACCAACTGGTTTCTTAGTATGTGCTAGGCATTAGGGTTATAGAAATGAATATGACATTCCCTGAATCTGGATACCAAAACCAGACAAGGACACAACAAGAGAAGAAAATTATAGGCCAATATCCCTGATGAACAAAGATGCAAAATTTTTCAAGAAAATATTTGTAAAACAAATTCAACAATTCAACACTATGATCAAGTGGGATTTATTCCAAGGATATAAGAGTGGTTCAATATCCACAAGTAAATCAATGTGATACACATTAACAAAATGAAGACTAAAATCATACAATTATATTAACAGGTGTAGAAAATGCCTTTGACAAAATTTAATATCCATATATGATAAAAACTTTCAACAAAGTGAATACACAAGGAACATACCTCAACATAATTAAGGCCATATATAACAAACCCAAAGCTTACATCATACTTAATGGTGAAAAGCTGAGAGCTTTTTTTCTAAGATCAGAACAACACAAGGATGTTCACTCTCATCAGTTTTATTAAACACTAGGGGCCCGGTGCACAAAAATTCGGGGAGTGGAGGGGGGGTCCCTCAGCCCGACCTGCACCCTCTCCAATCTGGGAGCCCTCAGGGGAGCCCTCTCCAATCCGGGAGTTTTTCTCTGTCTTTGCAATCATATGAGCGAATTGTCCGAGATCCCCAACCCAGTTTGGTTTGTTGCTCACAGAATAATAGAGGCATTTTTTTTTTCTTTGCTCCATTGGTGGAGATTTCCTGGAAGTTTTAGGATATCTTCCCTTTAATTTTTCCCAGACACTTCGATTTTACTTATGTCTCTCACCTTTGCTTTCCCTCCATCCCCAACTGCAACAGTAACTTGCTCCAGGCTCACTTTGCTCTAGTGCAGGGGTGGGCAAACTTTTTGACTCGAGAGCCACAATGGGTTCTTAAACTGGACTCAGAAGAAGGAGCTGCGGCCGTGTTTCCAGACGTTGCCATGTTAACACTGCTGCTGGTGAAGGAGCGGAGGGGAGAGCAAGAGAACCCTCCGCTCTTTCGGCTCCGCGGGCCAGATAGAACAGCCGAACGGGCCGGATCCAGCCCACGGGCCATAGTTTGCCCACGGCTGCTCTAGTGTCTAGGAGATCCATCTGCCACCAGAACTATGATTCCCAGCATTCCTGGTGCTCCCTGAGCTCTGGGCTTCCACTTCTGGTCCTGGGGCTGCCATCAGAACTATGATTCCCAGCATTCCTGGTGCTCCCCACACTCTGGGTTTTCCCCGACCGAGGGAGCCACATCCCCACAAGCTGCTGGCTCTCCCACTCTGCTCTGTGTATGCAAATTACCCACCATCTTTGTTGGGTTAATTTGCATATTCACTCCTCATTGGCTGGTGGGCATGGCTTGAGCATAGTGGAGGGATGGCTAATTTGCATGTTTCTCTTTTATTATATAGGATAGTATTGAAAGTCCTAGCCAGAGTGATAAGCCAAGAAAAATAAATAAAAGGCATGAAAATTGGAAAGAAAGAAGTAAAACTGTTTTTATTTGCAGATGACATAATATTAAATATAGAAAAGCCATGCCCTGGCTGGATAGCTTAATTGGTTAGAGCATCATCCTGATTCATCAAGGTTGTGAGTTTGATCCCTGGTCAGGCAGGGCACATACAAGAACCAATAAATGCATAACTAAGTGAAACAACAAATCGATGTTTCTCTCTCTCTCTCTCTTCCTCCCTCCCTCCCTCCCTCCCTCATTTTCCTTCCCTCTCTGTTTCTAAAGAACTCAGTAAATAACAAATTTAATTAGAGCTTAACACCAAAAGAAGAATTTTAAAAAGCCCAAAGACTCCACCAAAAACTGTTAGAACTAATAAACAAATTCAGCAAAGTTGCAGAATACAAAATCAACATACAAAAATCTGTTCTGTTTTTATACACTAATAACAAATTATCAGAAAGAGAAATTACAAAACTATCCCATTGACAATTGCATAAAAAAGAATAAATACCTAGTAATAGGAATAAATTTAACCAAGGGGGTGAAAGAGCTATACCTGAAAACTATAGGACACTGATGAAAAAAATTGAAGATGACAGAAAGAAGTGGAAATACATTCTGTGTTCCTGGATTGGAAGAATTAACATTGTCAAAATGTCCATATTACCTGAAGCAATCTACACATTCAATGTGATCCCTATAAATTTTTTAATGGTAAAAATTTAATGGTATTTTCACAGAAATAGAAAAAATATTTTTTAAACTGTGTGGAGCCACAGAAAACTCCAAATAGCCAAAAAAAAAGAAAAAAAAAATGTCGTGAGAAAGAAAAAACAAAGCTAGAGGCACTACACTCCCTGATTTAAAACCATATTACAAAATTAGAGTAATTAAAACTGCATGGTATTGGTATTTAAAAAGACACATAAATTAATGGGAAAGACTAGAGAACTTAGAAATATATCTACACATATAAAGTCAATTAATTTACAACAAAGGAACCAAGAATAAACAATGGGGAAAAGGACAGTCTCCTCCATAAACAGTGTTGTTATAACTGGACAACCATATGCAAAAGAATGAAAGTGGACTTCTGTCTTACACAATAGACAAAAATCAACTCAAAGTGGAATAAATACTTGAATGTAAGACCTGAAATCATAAAACTCCTCGAAGAAAGCACAGGCAGTAAGCTCCTTATAATTAGTTTTGGCAATGACTTTTTGGATCTGCCTCCAAAAGCAAAGGTAACAAAATAAAGAATAAACTACATCAAGCTAAAAAAATTTCTGAACATCAAATGAAAATATCAACAAAATGAAAAGGCAACCTACAGAATGTGAGAAAATTGTCACAGATCATATATCTGATAAGGGGTTAATATCCAAAATATATAAAAACTCATACAA